AGGGCTTCATCAGGGGACCCGTACAGTATTATTTCCAGTGTTAGAGGCGATCACAGGGTCACCTGAAGCCTCCGATTTCAAAGCAGCATCCTTTGTGCCATACTACCAGGACAAGGAGGAGTGTGCTGCCAGGGCACCGGCTGCAGAAGTGGCATCAGAGCCCAACTACTGCCGGCACCCCCCCTTCCCCGATCGATCACCAGTGCTGCCATAAGCCCGGTCCGGATCAGAGCCGGGCACATCGCGCTCAGACAAAACACAGCCGGCGGCAAATAAATCTCCTAATTTAATTAGCACCCCTCCCCCCCAGGCTAAAGCATTTATCCTAATTTTTGTTCCTGCAGCGCTTGTGTGACTACCCCTAGGGCTTGGGGGGCATCAGTGCTCCTCCCTCCTCTTCACCCAAGGGAGTCAGAATCCCACACAATAGGAACTTTAACACAATAAAGTCAAAGGGAGGGGGGAAGAGTTTTTTTTGCAAGAGGGGATCCGGCCGCAGGTATCAGCCTAGGGACTCTGCCTCCAGACTAAGGACTCTAGTATTAGAACTGTTCGCTGCTTGCTTCTGAGACTTTATTACAACTGAGGGTAGAGTTTGGAGGAGTCGTGGACATGTCCAGGAGGAAGCAAGCCAAGCCACGATCGGTTAAAGGTAAGAGACTTTATCCATACCCCAGCTCTGACTTGTGTGCAGCCCGTGCGATCTGTCACGCCGCTACTGTTTGCTAAACTGCATGCGATCTGTAGCTATCGATCAGGTTGGTGATGTCCGCTATAGAAGCAAGAGGCGTCTGATTTCCATGGCGTGCAGCTTTTGCTGGGTTAGGATCGATGAGTACCCGCTGTGATTTCGGAGTCACTGCCTCGGTGCATTGCTCAATACAGGCTAAAGTCGCCCGGTTGGTTGGGTAGGGTCCCATAGCAGGCTGAGGAAGACCGGTGCTGAGGTTGGAACCGTGGACCTGGCCTGTATCCTTCCACTGAGGCGCATTGAGTCCAGTGCTGCGGCTCCAAGCAGACACGTGGGTTGGAGACAGTCTGCATCCCATTCACTCTGCACAATAAACAGTTCCTCCCTTCCTACTCTGGTACATCCCCATTAGTTTGACTTCAGTAGTAGCAGATCTGCTACAAAGTTTGCCCATCCACAAACACCAACATTGTAACAGTTTATATCTGGATTGTTATTAAATAGACATCTATGCTCAGATCAGAAGCATAGGGCACCAGAAAATGGATCTTTAGTTCCCCAAATAAACGACAGTTATTTAGGCTGTGTCCAATGAGATTTGAAAGTAATAGTCACATGGCTGGAAAGAGAGATGCTTATCCTTGTGTAAGAAATATAAAAAGATGCTTATCCTTGTATAAGAAATATAGAGACTTATCCTTGTGTAAGAAATGTAGACACTCTTATCCTTGTGTAACATATGTTTATCTTTGTAAGAAATATAGTGACTCTTATCCTTGTGTGATGACTATAGAGATGATTATCCTTGTAAGAAATATAGGGACTCTTATCCTTGTGTGATGACTATAAAGATGTTTGCAAAGGTGTAAGACTTTATTAATTGAGCCTGTTACAAGATAGAACATTGCTGTCTCTCTTTGTATGTATGGTCAGTGTATTGTGATAAGACATTAGAGGGGTGTTGATGATGTTGCAGAGACCTAGGCAAGTATAAGTGCCATTGCACTTTGAAATGTTGAAGATCTTTCAGGAATTTAGTTTACACATCATACTGTCTCTCAGTAAATGTAAGTACTGGTTATTAAGTCAATGATGTGAACATTTTTTTTTCTTTTGTTTTATCAATAAGTTAGTTATATTTGATACAGGATTGAAGTCAGATTGCTACAATACTGCTATACAGCATCATATTTGTATAGTTGTGATGTGTTGTCTGTGTATAAATAATGGAATAAAATAAATGCAACTATGTATGTGCAATGAAACAATGTTTGCTGATAACATTTTGCACACTTACTATTAGCTAATATGAAATGAAGACTCGTCAAGCTCAAGTACCAGTGCCGTAGTGATAAAAATTATGTCGTAGTATTATAAACACAAATATTTTGTATAAAAAAGATCATAGAAGAGTAATTAAAATAAGCCTGCACACTGGATTATTGAGGCGTACATTTTGACTGCTGGGAGCCCTTTAGGTCATTTTGCCCTCTCTCATAACTGTGCTGTCTTGTTGCTCCTCAAGCTGTACTGAATATGGTTTCCATTTCTTGTACTGATGAGACAGATACAGCTGTATACAACTTTTGAATGAATGGGAGTAGAATAATAGGCTGGTTCTGGGTTCTGAATCATTGGATGTGGATGCTGTTGGTCACTGAGGCACATATGAATGATTTTCATGGTACCGCCCACTTTCCTTTAAATGAAGCACAATCCTATTTTTTTTTTCTTTTGAGTTTGTGATGGAAGTGTTGACATGTTAATACCATCTGTCTTCGGAAGGGAATGCTTCTACTTCTCTGAATATTCTCAGAAAATTTTCTTGTTTGTATGTACCAGTGGTGTATAAAAGAATGTGACCTCAGTAGCCCTTTAGATTCCCCCCTTCCTCCTTACATGATGCAAATTTCTGCTTTTGCCAATTATTTTAGTTACTTCATACAAGCGGAACTTGTAATATTTTTATTTCTGCTTTTAAAGAATGTAATTTGGTTTAACATTCCACTGCACTTTCCAGGATGCACAGACTATTCATGCCAGACCCGGCTCTATTGGGTCTGCTGATGTAACTCGACAGCAGTGAAACAGACATGCACTCAGGCCTTTTTTTGTGTGAAGCCAGCTTGTTCTTGGATTGTATGCCTATAGGTAGGCACATGAAGGAGACCTATATGAAATGTGACACAATATCCCACTTCACTTTACATGATACAGAGACTATTGATGAGAGTCCCTGCTTTTAACTGGGCGTCTGATGTACGCCAACAACAGTGAAACATAGACGTGCTCTCTTTTGTATGAACTGTAAATAATGATAGGCACCTTTAAGGAGACCAATACAAATGTAAATTAAATCCATTTTGATAGCTGCATGCCATGCTTGGGCTTTTGAAGGAGAGCACAGTTATTTTGGGTCTTGAAGCATGGTCATGGAAGTCTTCAGTACTTGAATGCTGATAAGGAAATTACACCTTTTGATGTCTATTTGGCCCAATCATTTGGCGATATTACGCTAAAATGCCTAACATACCCAAACTGCACTAATAGTAACCATAGGTATGGTATTCTGACATTTGATATTAAAGCCTAGTCGCAATAGTAAATACTCTTACAGCCTATTCAAGTAGTCTGATTACTACTTTAAACCTACTATAGAATAAATAAGTGTAACCCTACTACATAAAACTAACCAAAACCTTAAAATCTGCAAACTAATTTGCTTGTAGCAACAATAAAAATATTTGTGGGCTGTGTTGACTTCACTTTTGAGCTGTACTATTTATAGCCGGTGGGTAGAGTGCTGGCTTTTGATGGACATTGGTAGATTTGGCACTACATGTACTGTGACCATGAACCCTGACCTTCATACTTCCCGCTACTGGTGTGAAGAGTGATGCACTAAGACAATGGCTGCAAAACTGTAATAGAATGGGTAAAAGCACTATATTACCAGAACCAGAGTGATGCCATATTACCATTTTTGTTAGTGATGACATGTTTAAAAAGGAATTAAAATTTGTATTTTGCTGGGATTTGTATTCCTCTAAAGCTGATGGTACATTGCTCTGTATAATATACAGCACAATATACCATCGGCTATAGAGGACTACAAATCACACTATCTCAGCAATACATTATAGAGCACCATGTAGGGGGAGGTGCAGGCTTACTTGAGCAGTCTTCCAGCAACTTGCTTCTGAGATCGGGCCTGTCTGTCAGCAGCTGTCATCCCCCCACGCCTGCTCCTCCTTCTCCCCATGTCCCTGTGCCGATCGTGGATGTGGACGGGCAGTGAGCGTCAGGCGTGAGGATGCGGGTGGGCGGGTCTGGCAGCGGCAAGCGTGAGGTGGGGAGGAGGTGCGGCGTGTGTGGAGCCGTGAACAGGGCCATCTAATCGAAAGCCGATTAATCGCTGATTGAAAACGTTGACAACTTTTTCACTCATTGATTATAATCGATTTAGTTGTTGCAGCCCTAGTAGTCCCATTGCATAAAGCTGAACTCTAGGATTTTTCTATTTTTTTAAAAACTTTTACATTAGGCCAACTTATCTATATGTCACATGTGGAGGGCTGCAGTGGAGTCTGAAAATCCCGTAGTAGTCTGTGCCACATACAGGAAGCGCTTTCATGTTCCATTGGTGCTGGAGTGACTTCTAACCTCCTGCATTCAGAAAACATGTTGTGTTCGATACAGAGCGTTCTCTGAATAGACAAGGATAGGTTGTGATATCATCTGCCCCTCTTTTCCTCCGCATCCAATCAGAGAATGCCTCCTGTTCATTGAAAAGAATACAACACATTTTCTGACTGGGGGATGTGCCAAGTGAGAGACTCCCTGCGTTCAATGTACTAAAGGGGAAATCCCTCCAGCACTGCCGAAACAGGAAAGCACTTCTTGTAGGGATCGATCACCTCATGATCCAGCCTTGTCCAATCAGAGTACACTCTGTATTCACTTAACAGAATACAATGAGGGGAATTTATCAAAACTGGAGCAGACAAAATCTGGAGCAGCTGTGCACGACAACCAGTCAGCTTCTCTTTGATTTTTTAAATCTTAACTGAACAAACTGAAGAAAAAAGCTGATTGGTTACCATGCACATCTGCTCCAGATTTTATCTGCTCCAGTTTTGATTAATTCCCCATAACATGTTTTATGAATGTAGAAGGTACCGAGTGAGCTGTTCCCTGTGATCAGCGTGTGGTGGTGGCGGCAAGGGCACAACAGGAAAGCACTTCCTGTATGTGGCACACACTACTACGGTGATTTTGAGACTCCACTGCAGCCCTCTGGAGGTAACCTATTGATAGTTAGAGGAAACCAAGCTGGTCCAAGTATACATTTTAAAAATTATTCCTTGAGTTTAGCTTTAGCTGTACAGGCACAGTTCACAATAGACAGGGATTCTTAGAGACGACGTATCAAAGAATGGCAACCATAATTATCTGGGTGCAAAGTCATAAATATACAAAGAAGTTTAAACCAGTAGAACAATGTAAAATCTCTTTTTTATGTAGCTGCATAACATAAAGACGAACACCCTATTTTGAGTATACGGTTCTGTAGACTTAAGCTGGGTATACATGGTTAGAATTGCGTATGCACATTGATACTAAAAATCTCATCAGAACATTTGATAAAACCACCGGAGACTTATGGAATGCCATTCAACATTTTGTAATGAATGGAGTTTCCTGAACGAAAACCACATTCACTGTTAGAATTTCATTTATTTCCATCCTGCTCCCCTTCTTTTTTTCATATTATGATCAACTTGACTCCATTAACTATTAAAAATCGAACCAACTTTCAGAAAATGATTGTTTGGAGACAAAAATTCTAACCGGGCATACCCAGTATTGGTGCAAATCCCCTAGGGTTTGCTTGTCCTTTGTTTTACTAGTAATGATCACTACTTGGGTGAAGCCCCTCCTAAATACCTCCCTTTCCCCCC